CAAATGCCCCTATAAATTGGACCTCTGGACCTCAACCTCCCCACAACACTCAGCACACTCTGAGAAATCCAGCCAAGAACACAACAGAGTTTCTGTACTATTCGCATATATAATTAATCATGGAATTTGGTGGAAAAAACAGGCAGAAGAAGCCCTTCTTCTGTCAGCTGGCCAGTCTTTTCAAGCGCCGGCAACATCATGAAGTGGAAAATTCCCGGGCGAAGGAGGAGGTGAAAGCGTGTCGTTCCGATCAAGACAACGGTTGTTTTGGGGTGGCAGACCCTGCAATTGACAGGGAAGCTTCAGCCTACATTGACAAAGTCCGTGCAAAAAATCGCTTCTCCTAATTACCCAGTGATCAGGTTGCTGAAAAGGCCTCAACTTAACCTCATCATCATCGTTTCATTCATTTCTTCAGCCACCTGCATCTGCATGCTCTCTCATCACTACTCTCTATCTTGTATTTCTCTATTGTATACTTCTTAATTTGTAACAAATCAATATATATATACAGAGAGAGAGAGATATTAATTAGTTATATGTATCTTCTACATTAATTTTTTTTTCCATTTATACAAACAAGAAAAAAAAAATATATTCATCTTCTTCCCCCGTTTTCTCTCTCATCCCTCGGCCTGCTTCCAACTCTTCCATCTTTCTTCTTTTTTCTCTCTCTCCTCCCCTTCCCTCCTTCCAAACCAGATCTGTTGGGTTCTGAAGGAGAACCTAATTCATTTAATTTGATGTTACAGATTCAATGTTGCTATCATATGAATACTGACTCTTGGTATCATATGAATACTGACTCTTGATTCTTAGCATGGCCTACTGAGCACAATCAAGAACTGCATACACACCTCATCATCAGATCTTGCTCAAACCATAATGCATAGACATTATTGTTGAATGGTAAATGTGAATCCTGAATGAATGGAAAGAAAAGTAAATGTGGAATCCTGAATGATGGAAAGAAAACTGAAACCATGTTAGCGAATCTCGAACATTCCAATTTCCAAATATGCCATGACAAGGGAATTTTAATGGTGGAGAAGCATCCCTCCGTTTTTTGCACCCACCTGCATCTGCATGCTTTCTCGTCGTCGGCAATGGTGTTTTTGAATAATGCATTGTTTCTAGCTATCCACAAAGTCCAAGTAACTGTGAACCATATAGTCTCCCACCCGCGCCTTTGATTTGCAGACCTAAATAAAGCATACAAATGGTATCATGTATTTGGTAGGAATAATATTTAATAATGTTTCTAGAAGAATGGGATTCATGTATACCAGTTAATTTGCAGGGAAGAACCAGTGTTTATGATTTATCTATAAATAACTTTGAAAGTTCTTATTTTCAATGAAGTTAATTTCGAGAAATATTATCTCCAAACCTTCCTTTCTTCCTCTGTAAAATCCTCCTAAATCCATTTATATCCAACAAAGTGGTATCAGAGCCCTTATCCAAATGGCAAGTGGGAATCTGATTTCATTGAAAGTTCCAAAATTCTTAAAAGAAAAGTTTCACAATTGGTGCATCCAAATGAAGGCTATACTTGGTGCACATGATGTGTGGGAAATTATTGAGAATGGATATGATGCTTTTCAAGACATAAGTGCTCTTACACAAGTACACAAAGATTAGTTTAATAGCATCAAGAAAAAGGATTAGAAGGCTGTCTCTCTCATTCACCAAGCATTGGATGAGGTTACCTTTGAGAAGGTTTCAAATGCCACCACAGCAAAGCAGTTGTGGGAGAAGCTTCAAGCTGCCTGTAAAGGAAAAGAGAAGGCAAAGAAAGTTTGCCTCCAAAATTTGAGAGGTGAATTTGAAGTTGTCCAAATGAATGAGACAGAAAAGGTGTCAGATTATATTTCAAGGGTCATGGGGATTGCCAGTCAGATGAGAAGGCTTGATGAAGAGGTGACTAATTTAAGGATTATTGAAAAAATTGTTGGATCAGTCATAGAGAAATTTGATTATGTGGTGACCGCCATTGAAGAATCAAAAGACTTGGAAGGCATGACTGTTGAGGAGTTAAGTGGTTCACTTGAAGCACATGAGGAGAAGCTCAATAGAAGAAAGAAAGAGCCCGTGGAGTAGGTTCTACAATCAAAACTTTCTCTGGGTGATAAAGAACAAAATGGAGGCGCAAGTCAAGGAGGACGAGGTTGAGGTCGTGGACGAGATCATGGTCGAGGACTTGGAAGGGGAGGAAGAAGCGCCCAAAACACTGATCAAAGCAAAGATGAAAATTCTCAGTTCACCTCTTTGAGAGGCCGTGGCAGAGGAAGATCAAGGCTATATCAGAAGAGGTATGATAAATCCCAAATTCAGTGCTACACTTGTAAAAAATTTGGGCATTATTCATGGAAATGCAGATTTGGCAACAATGTGAAAGCCAATTTCTCTCAAGATGAAGATAAAGAAGTTAATGAAGAGGTGGAGGCAACTCTTTTGTTGGCCTGCGAAGAGATGAAGAATGAAGACAAGCACTCTTGGTACCTTGATACTGGAGCAAGCAACCACATGTGTAGAAACAAAGAATTATTCGTGGAGCTTGATGAGAAAGTTGGTGGCAACATCACCTTTGGAGACTCCTCCAAAATACCAGTGAGGGTAAAGGTAAAATTCTAATACGCATGAAGGATGGAAATCATCAGTTTATTTCAAATGTTTATTATGCACCAGACATGAAGAGTAATATTTTGAGTGTGGGCCAACTGTTAGAAAAGGGATATGCTTTATTCACAAAAGGTTGCAGTTTGTACTTGAAAGATTGTGTAGAAAACTTGATTGCCAAAGTCCCAATTTCAAAGAATCGTGTGTTTGCTATGAACATACATACAGATTTGGTTAAAAGCTTAACGTCTTGTTACAAAGATTCTTCATGGCTGTAGCATTTGAGATTTGGGCATATGAACTTTGGAGGACTTAAAGCTATGGCTAGCAGAAGAATGGTGAAAGGCTTGCCCTCAGTGAATCAAACTGATCAATTTTATTTAATTGTTTAACTAAAATTAAAATTACTTCATTTTGGTATTTAATTAATCTATATTTCTATGGGGCAATACTTAATTTTTATCATTCGATTTCTTCAACTAACTAGGGCTCTTAATGAAATAAAATTAACTCAACACAACTTAATTTTCGGGGGAATTGATGCCAAACTTAATTAAGGTGACTTGACTAAAACAATACTTTTTGGCCATTTATAAACTATGTAACACCCTTAAAATGCCAAACCGACATAATCCATTTGCATAAACAATAAATTGGTTTAAGTTTTCATTTGATAGCAAAATCTAAAATGTATTTTTTTAAAGTATATAATTGGGAACTACAATTAGGAACCTTGAGGACAAGAATAAAGATCAAAAACAGTTTTTGTAGATACAAAGTTGCTGTGTTGCTCAACTGCAAGTGGTATTTTTCATTGTTCCTTATCACTATCATTTCCAAAATGAAAATAATTGGTAGACACTTGATTCAACACATTTTTTAACACTCGTCTAGTTCAGTTATTAAAAATATAACATAAATATAGTCGATTCTGTCAGTTTTTACATTTTGTGTACAAGTTTGTTTATCTCTAATTTCAAATTAAAAAATAATGATTTTTCAATAAATGTGTTATACAGTATATTGAACTGGAGTATATATCAATCATTATCCTTTCCGAAAATAGGCGCAACTAATATTTTTGGTTTCTTTGCAGCCCTGCCAAATGTGCTCTGCAACATGAGTGAGAAGCAAGTCAAAGGGAGTCATGCTCATCAATCACGATCCATTGAAATCAGTAAATTGCATTGGATGGCAGATTCTTCAGGGTGCAAATTTTCAGCTGCCTATGGATTATATGCCATCCAAAATCATCTATCAACAACATCAATGAAACCAATCTGTAATCACCACATTCTTGTTAACACTTAAGACAAAAACTGACACTACTTAAACAATGAACTGGTGATGGATTTTCATTCGGTAATGAACTAGCTGTTAGAAGTTAAGGATTAGAAAGTTCTCAGGTAATATAATTTGTCCCGGAAAGGGTTGGACATTATATAAATTATGTTGATACAAGAATGTCAAGAGAGGTGCAACCAGTGGATCAGAATTATCCCAGATAGCTAGTTAAAATTTTTCC